GGCGCATCAGCCTCTTCCTAGAAAATCGTCTGGCTTCAAGCAACACTCGCTTTACTAAACAACAACAAATTTTGCACGTACGTGTCGAAGCTTGACATAAGAAACCGAAAGTGTCTTCAGTCGTGAAGTCAAACTCAAATTTAAGCTGCCAGACCAATGTAGAATTTTCCACACACGAATAGCCAACAGTCCATTGACTGCACATACAGGGGAAAGAAAACGCCACAAAGAGTCTAGCATTCAATCGAAGTGTTCAAGAACTTAGTGAACGAATGCTTACAACAATAGGGCTAAATTTTTTTGGCGTCAAATTATTTTACTTAAGGGCTTTGACGGGTACCAGGACACAATGAGCAAAGAGAGCATTTTCCCTGGCATTGAAGGTGAACGCCTGTCAATTTATCAAACGCTAGACGAAAGCAAAGACTTGTGTAGCGGTAAGGCCTTTTTGAATCGTGGTAGGCCGGAAACAGTGAAGGAAATTCATTTAACATCCAAAGCGGCAAGTTTTGATGAGCTATTGCCCGATTGGAATCCATGCGAAGGTACTAAATATCACACTACACCAACAGTTTGGCAGCTCAGCATTGTTTCTAAGCTGTCCCGGTTTTGAGAGGTTGAGATTTAATTCCGTATGTCGGGGTCTCGCGATTTCACTGAGAAACTCTCTGGGACTCATACATATAAGCTGAGTATAACAACTGGAACTCGAGACGGTTTTGGCAAAAAAAAATTAGTCTTTGACGGCTCACTGCTTTCATTCGGCTTTAAGAGGTTTAGGGTTCCTCCAAGAAGGTTGTGAATAAGTGGCAGGGTAAGCGCGGAAAATCTATTGTCATCCCATTTCTTTGAACTGAACACGAGCATAGGGGCCTGTCGCTGATTTCACCTAGAATCAACGTTAAGCCTGTCGGGAGTCAAAAGTGCATATTTTACTCGGTTAGTTACGCATAGAGATCAACATTTATGGTAGATCGAAAGCCGAAGAATTTTCAACTGCCAGACCCATAGCAAATACCGGCTGCTAAGTTTGAAGAAGTTCCTGAGCTGCTCATACCTCATACGTTAAAGGACTTTTGCCATGGACCTTAGCGACGCTTCTACCGGCACTCCCAATACGGTCCTAGGAGCGCCGTAGTTAACTAGCAACTCCTTTTATGGAACGAAGGTTTCTGGCGGATGACGAGTATACTCATGCGGCAATGTACCAAGATATTCTTCTCCTCTCAACGTGTGTGGATGCCTCCGAGGCTGATTGCGAAGAGGAAAAGGATTTTAAATCTTTTGAGCTGCTGTTCGCTTCGTTTTCCTTAAGTTCTTATTCAAGTAAGTGATAATCAAACCGCAGGGAAGTGCGCGCTTAAAACCAGTGCTTTTAGCGCAGATACTCTCGATCTGGCCTAATTTTTCCAACAAATTTCATATATTTATGTCTCAGAATACAGAAAAGCTGATTCCACATGGACTGCAGAAAAGGGCTAAGGTGGACTTTTAACTCAAGTAAAGGTAGTACCTTAAATACAGTCGGCTTTAACTTAAGGTGATAAGGTACACGATGGAGTAGTCTCACTTCAGACTCGAAAAAAATGCTCATCGGTTGAAATTTTTTCCAGCCCAATGTCGAGGGTTCCTTACATGAATGGAGTTTTCTAAGTTTTCCCGCGTTTTGGGTACTGATTTAGAGCAAGAATGCTTAGCCCACAACTCATTTGGACTCGCAAAGACATTCAAACAAATTTCAGTAAATTCCATTCTGCCTCAGCTTTGCAAAAAATTGCAGCGCAAGAAGTTAGATGCAAATTGAGCGTCGCATAACGTACATAAGACACCTACATAGCATACTATACCTGCAAGTGAGTCTTCCGCCGAAGCTTGGGACTGAAGCCAAAACTTGTAATGTGGATGTATACCGCCGACATATAACCCTGGTTAGCTGGCATGGCATAAACAAAAAATATGATGTAGACCAACTAGGTAGCTTACAAACAGCAGCACACGTCATCTGCAGCACTAAAGGATAACTTTGTACTCATATAAGCCTTAATATGTTTTCGTATTCAAAATTTTTAATTCACATAACTTCTTCGTTTCTGCATAAATCTACTCATCACATCCATGACGTCGATGCCAAAAAAAATCATTACAGTCATTTTCCCATCACCTCAATGTTGCTTCCTGCATGCATAAATTAAAAGCCTTCTTTTATTTATTTATTTTTCGTTTTCTAATTTCCAACTTTTCTGCTGTCTGCATTAGTTAACTTTTGCACGACTGCGTAGCACAATAGCAGACATTGCTTGCCGCGCATCCAAAATTTAATCAAAATATTTAAAGTGTTGCCTTCTACAACTGGTATTGAATTAGTGTTGGTAATCATGCGGTGACAGCTCTGGCGCCATCAATTACCACACCAACAGCTCACAGTTAAAGAAAGGCGCTAAAGCCAAGAAGATGAAAAGAAATTAAATGTCTCGACTTGACAGCATGAAAATCGACAGTTATTGAGTTGCTGTTGAAAAAAAAGAAAGAAGCAAAATGAGAAAAAAGTAAGAATCTGTATTCAAAATATGTATGTAGCAAAAACGACGTCGGTGTCTCTGTGCTGAAAACTGAAGGGAAAAATATGAAATACGGCTATTCATGGCTTGATAAATTATGGGGAAAAATTTGTATACGATTTGTATGGGAAAAAGTTTGCTAGTGAGCCCTTTATTGGCGCAGAAAAAGTGAAGGTGGCGATGTGAAAATTTCTCTGAAGAGGAGGTAGTGACTTACAGCTGCCCTGATTGAATGATAATAAAGCCTTGGTAGATGAATTTTCGCTCAGAGTGCGCTCCAATGTCTCCTGGTACTCAAGCCGTCTCCCTGTGAAGAGAATATGGCCGGTTAGATATCTAAATTCAAATCACTTTTTCACATTAATTGCGAATATAAGGCTCCTACACACCTCCAGTACTTTCTGCGTTCTGAGTTCACCCATTAATAGGTTAAAAGTTTCGTTGGATACCGGTTGAGACCACAGTATGGCGATTGAATATGCTTCGCCCCGTCAACTTGTCGGCGACTTCGTTAAACCCGACAGTTTTAATTTTTTGTTTTGTTGTTGAATACCAAATAGTAAGCTAACACCCCTTGACATGAGTGTTTTTTTTGCAAATTTCCCGGATGTCCCGTTGGCTATATAAAAAATTGCATATAAAAGCGGTCCTTAAAGCATTTTCAAGGTATATTTTGTTGCAAGGCGAGATTGTAAACGGCGGGGACTAAAAGATCGCGCAACATCAGGTCAAGTCAATTATAAGTCCGATTGCGATCTTATAAAAGTCCTCGTTTTATTTTCAATTTTTTATCCGTCTTTGCATCAATGTACGAAACTAAAATCAAAAAATTTGTACAGAGATCTCAATCTGCGACTTCATCTTGAGCAAAGCGAGTTCCAACTGAGCTACTTGAGACTGTTAAGTAGTTGCCAAATATTCCAGCATTGCTGCGGCAAGAGTCTCTGAGCAAAGGTTTAATGTCTTCCGGCTTTAGGCTTAGGTCAAAATTAGCTCATCACATTAGGAGTTACATATATATAGTTCGGCTACTGCGATGGGCCATAATAGAGACAAGATAAATTCACTCTGTGGACAATATTCGGTGTCTAAGAAGCATTAAATATCTTCATAAATTAATGGAAGCTGGATGGCAGAGTTGTAAGAGGTGTATTCTCTCAGAAACTTTAGGTGAATCTCCTTTACAGGGTGCCGGATTTCATGCAAAAATGGCTGCTATTCGAGAGGCAGAAGATTGGCAACGCACTAGTGTTTTTTGCCGATTAGAAGGGTAAATATCTACTCTGATAGACAAACGGCAATCAGGGCGTTAGAATTGCTCGTGGTACAATCGAAATTGTTCAGGGAATGCCTGACCACTCTCTAAATCGCCTCCGACTATTTCCAAATCAAGCTGAATTGCGTACCAGGACGCAATGACCCACCGGGCCGATTAATTGGTTGAACAGGGTGCCGGCATGAAAAGTTGCAGCGTCTTTCGGCCGGTTGTTGACCGCATGTGGTCAAGGGGGCTTATGTAGCCGGCTAAGCGACAGCTATCGATTCATAAAAGTGCACTGACCGGACACTGCCTTTTAGGAGCTCACGCGATGCAAATTTACTTAGAGTACGAGGTGGAATCTTATTCTTCACTTCCTTATCGCAAGACTAAGATTTACTCGGCGCGTATTTCATCAACACTACCGAGGAACTCTCCGGAGCACCCACTGCTTCTCCAAAGCTCACACGGATTACCAGTAGTTATCGTTCCGGGAATTCTACAATGTGGTAAGACAATGCACAGTTGAAATAGTGTCTAAGGGCCAGTTTTTCAGTGCATGTTTAAATTTAGATCACGTAAACTGCGTTTATCTTGATCAGCTGGCTGATATGTATTTGATTGACTAATCTTAGTTCAAACTAGCCAGCTCGAGCGTTTAACTAATTTTAAACCACAGCCGTGAACTGAAAAACTGGCCCCGAGTGAGACCCTTCGGTGCTGTCCTTAAGAAAATTTTATAGTTCTATATTTAAGCGAACTTTCGATCCAACATCATCATACCTCATTCCTTTTTGATCCGGACGCGATTGTCTATTAGAGAGTGTTCCGCGTTATCAAAAGCACTATTGACGTCCGGGAAGCGAACTTTTGGTTTCCATACATTTTCAAATTTTTCTTGGGAGACTCTACATATGGATATAAAACTACAAATATGATTGTTAGCGACCTAGCGTGAAACTTTTCTTCTTCCTTATTTAAAAAATAGTCTCACTTTGAGTGATATCAGGCTATAAATGCAAATTTGACACAAATGCGACTCCAGTACCAACTTCTGCCGATATTTTTTTCTGAAAAATAACTGAGATGTTGATCTGTTCGAAGTTAAACAAATTCTACAATGCCCGCTGGATATTTCGGAGTTTTGGACGCTTCCTAGGCTGGGAAAATAAGAGGAAAATAAGCTAGTTATGCAACTATTTATTCGCGAACTATTTTCAACTTATTCCAAGTAAACTCTAGTGGTACTACATACATAACAATATGTGTTAAAAACACCATAATAAATGACTAAAAAAATCAAAAATCCGTTGACTGCCTAAAATTAGACTACACTACGCTGCTTACAGTATAGACATTTTCATAATCCACATTCCACGCCTACTTTTAGGCTACCCTTTTCTCAATCGGATATGCCAATGTATGCGTGGGTATCATAAATCGGGACAATTGCTTGCGTTGCAGCCACTTGTTTTGCTGTATAATACGCGCCATCACCCAACTTGGGATATACGAATCCAATAATGATTTATCTTGGCGCTTGATAAAAATATCCGGAAATTGACTGATACCTTTGACATCATAATCGACGCTATTTCTCGGTGCATTTTGCGGTGGTGTCGCCGTTGTACTTGTGCTTGTGATGCTAATAAAAGAGGGTGGATAGGGTAAAAGCTTCTCATGAGCTGGTCGAGTATTCGCAACAGTGCGCCGCTCGGGAGCATATTGCTGCTGGTTAGAATGGCTTTTGTGTTGAAAGCAAGGCAGTGCATTTAGTGGCGGAGTTTGCTGCTCCACACCGTTCATGCCTTGGAAGTGTGTTAGCGGCGTTAGCGGCGCATATACAATTTCGGTGAAGTGTTTTGAGAATGGCGAGTATGTTGCTTTACCGACAATGGGGTGGTACAACTGCTGATTGGCAGCTGGTGGCAAATGATTCGTTTTTGTTGCGCTGCAAAAAAGAGATAAAAAATATTTTTGAGTTAAATATACAACAATCTCGGGGGGCTAGAATATATCAAGGTTGCTAGAAAAAAATGATTAGCCAAGCGAGAGTGGAGAGACGATTATAGGGAGTGTGAGTTTGAGATGTTGTTTGAGGAATAGTAATAAGCCATCGTGACAGTTTCTTCATAAATAAAAATTTTTGATGCGCTGATCTGGCTAAAAATTTTCTGCTTCAAATGGTAGCAAATCCCAAGGAAGCCTATTTGATTCATCCGTTATTGATGCACTTACTCTAAAAATTTTAGGCTCTGTGCTCGGTGATATGATAAATATGGATCGAGTTGAGTGGCCCACTCTACAAAGTAAACCAGCATTACACCTAAACCCTAAGACGAAATATGGGAACATAAAAGGAGAGAGGTAGAGGTTGTAAATTGTCTACCAAAGACGAATACGAAAGGAGCAGATATTCCGGTTATCTTCAATCTCCGGACTAAAGACAACTATAGAGTTGTGGTAGCCAAATTTTTGTTTACGAAGAATCTTAGCCTCCTGTTCTTTCAGTTTAGTAGTTCTATCGCTGTTGTGTATTACTTTTGAGTTTCCCTCTTTGTAATAAGGCCTTAAAGCTTTCGCTAAACTTTGACCTCCATTGGGCTCTAGTTACTCCGAGTGACTCGCAGATCCGAAATTTACCGATTGTGTAAGTTCACACGATTCGCCTCTTCTAACTCTCTACGAGGAAGTGTTAGTTTTTTACAGCATAAAAGCGTATAACTAAGCTGTGAGAGATCTGTGGACCTATTTATATGCGTGGCAATGCCTGAAGAAGATGAACTGAAAAGATCCTTTGACTTGGCACTGCTGGCGGACAATGAATGCAAGGACAGCGACGAACGTAAGGGAAGGATCAAATGCAAAAGGGATCGTAGGTACTTGGAGTAGAACAAGTTCATATCTGACCGCAATCCAAACGGACGAATGGTTAAATAGGTTTTCGTTTAGCATGATTTTCTATACCTCGGAAACTATTTCGGGTTGTCAAGGTGGCGTACTTACACAGTCGTGGTCCACGACGCCGAGACGTATGTTCCAGGAAACATTGCAGCGACCGACTGTGCCAAGAATAGGGAATATCTGAATATTCAATCAACATACATATGTATCTATCAACTTTCTGTGCCCAGAAAGGAAGTCCCTTAGTAGGTCCTAAAACCTTTCACCAGTAGAATATCAGGGATTTCCTTCACCTAAGTATTTATACATATAGGTGCATACATTTGCATTTCACAAGGTCTATCTAATTACTTGCTTTCATTGAGCAGAGTAGATTGCAGGTAATTTGTTGGACGGCTGACTGGTTACTTCACGTGGTACCAACAACAGACTGTGTTAGCCGTACATGACAACTCCTTTTGCCCAGCCTACCTTGAAGATGATGAGACGATGGAAAACTATTTCACTGCTTCTTNGAGTAGATTGCAGGTAATTTGTTGGACGGCTGACTGGTTACTTCACGTGGCACCAACAACAGACTGTGTTAGCCGTACATGACAACTCCTTTTGCCCAGCCTACCTTGAAGATGATGAGACGATGGAAAACTATTTCACTGCTTCTGCCACGCCCATGCAAGAATTATGAATGAGGCATTTGACCACGATATGTTGAGAGACAAACACCTGATCTCTTTAACTCGAAGCAATCTGCTTAGGTTTATTCGTATCGTGCAGCACAATGGACGGCATGTAGTAGTGCTGTTTTTGCACGTCTCGTTTTGTGCGAAACATGCTAAGTTGTACTGTAAGAAAATTTTTGTATAGGGTTGCCACCCCATCTAAACTATCAAAAACAGCAACATGAATACCAAAAGGCAGACGATATTTAAGAGCCTTTGAAATCTATGTATAGAAATCAGGGACGTGAACCGGATGAAAAATTTGGTCGGTTTGGTTCAGCGGTTCGAACCGTTGTTGCACTTTTGGATTGGTTCGTCAAAGCGGTTTTTTTGGTCTTGGAACCGGGGTTTCGGTTCGGTTNACCAACAACAGACTGTGTTAGCCGTACATGACAACTCCTTTTGCCCAGCCTACCTTGAAGATGATGAGACGATGGAAAACTATTTCACTGCTTCTTCCACGCCCATGCAAGAATTATGAATGAGGCATTTGACCACGATATGTTGAGAGACAAACACCTGATCTCTTTAACTCGAAGCAATCTGCTTAGGTTTATTCGTATCGTGCAGCACAATGGACGGCATGTAGTCTGAGTACTGTTTTTGCACGTCTCGTTTTGTGCGAAACATGCTAAGTTGTACTGTAAGAAAATTTTTGTATAGGGTTGCCACCCCATCTAAGCTATCAAAAACAGCAACATGAATACCAAAAGGCAGACGATATTTAAGAGCCTTTGAAATCTATGTATAGAAATCAGGGACGTGAACCGGATGAAAAATTTGGTCGGTTTGGTTCAGCGGTTCGAACCGTTGTTGCACTTTTGGATTGGTTCGTCAAAGCGGTTTTTTTGGTCTTGGAACCGGGGTTTCGGTTCGGTTCAACGATTCGAAAAAAAAAAACAAAAAAATAACGCGCCAATTTAAGTGTCAAGTGTCAAGTGCAACAACGCGCAAGGTTAAGGGCCAAGTGAGGNGTCAAAGCGGTTTTTTTGGTCTTGGAACCGGGGTTTCGGTTCGGTTCAACGATTCGAAAAAAAAAACAAAAAAATAACGCGCCAATTTAAGTGTCAAGTGTCAAGTGCAACAACGCGCAAGGTTAAGGGCCAAGTGAGGTGGGCTGCCTTTACATTTGATATTGTCACATGGTAAAAAAAAATGGTAGGTATTACCATGTTTAACAAAAAGAAAAAAGTGGGTACATTTATCTACTGAAAATTGGTTGAAACGAACCTTTAAACCTTTATAGAAAGTGGTTCGGTTTTCGGTTCGGATCAAACATTTGTGGAAAATTTCGGTTCGGTTAATGGTTCAGTTAATTAATAGAAAAAAGCGGTTTTCCGGTTCCAAACCGGTTCGGTTCAAAACCGGTTCACGTCCCTGATAGAAATGTAGCCGTTTTCTTTATTAAAGCTTGGCTCAAAAATAAATAATGAACAGATTTCACAAAATTTGTATAGTATATTCATTAGACCAGCATCACGAGCATAGGCTATACTTTAATCCGCTAGGAGGCGCATGAATCGAGATGTTCAGAAAATCTCTATTAGCCGTCCGACTTTGATGATGAATTGAAAACGAATACTGCTTATGTGAGAGAAATGCTATTACGAAAAATGGATCCGCTGGACGGAACCAGAGTCCAGTTAGTTAGAAGATCCTTATTTATAGTCCGATTTAGATGAAATTAAAAAAGGTATGCTGAATGCATGCATATACTATCTGCTCTGGAAGGTACTGAAACGGTCAATAAACACAGCTATCAATCAAGGTGAATTTTTTAATTCACCCAATGTAAATGGTTTTCCTGCGCACCGAATCGTACTTAAAGTTGGTGCAACGATTATACTACTCCGAAACTATGCAACGGAACTAGGCTTAAGTTTGTAAAACTGCAAAAAAAAATTTAATTGAAGCAGAAATAATGGCGGGTTGTGCGGCAGGCGAAATTATTTTCATGCTACCTGGAAAAAAAATCTTTTAATTAAATAAAATTTCACTACATTTGTACCAAAAAAAAAAACAAATGCGAGGAACCTTTATTATACAAAAGTTTTTTTTTTTAGTAAGAGTTGCCACCTCTTGCATAATGCACACAATTTAAAAATAAAGTAAAATTTAACTAAATGTTACTAAACGTAAAGTGTTTGACGAAATTTTGGTCAAATAATTTTTTTATGTATGGTTGCCACCCAGTTAATTAATATTTCTTAGAAAGCATTGTCACCTACATACTACATATGTACATACATATCTCCACACAAAATTGTTGCTTTATTATTTTAAATCGAAAGCGTTTGCAGTAATTTTTATACAAATATTTTTTGTTCTTACAGAATTGCCAACTATCGAAATGTCTTTGGCGCGAAAAATGTACCACTGAGCACTCCGCTCTTGGCCAGTCTTGTAAATCACCTAACATTTATTGTGATTTTCCTACTTTACGCGCAATTTACTGTACATTTTTTTATTGATAATTTTTTTAATTAAACAATTGTATTTGTTTTTTTTTTTTTACTTTCCACTCAGTTGTTTTACAAACATACTACATAGTACATACCTACCATACATCGTTCCATTATGATTTTTATTATTATGGTATTATTTTTTATTACAGTCGCACTTAGCGGCATGCGGTGGACGGTGGGCGGTGGGCGGCATGTGGCAAGTGTGGGTAACGGGTGGTGGGTTTCTAATGAATGGCCAGTCGCAATGCAAAAAAAAAATCATAAACCGCAATATTTTTTAACGGTATAATGGCATTTTTGTATTCATATTGCGGCTACTGTGTCCACATGACTAACAACGGCGATGCCAGTCAGCCACTTAGCCACTCAGCCAAGCATTTAGCCAGTCAGTCTGTCAATCAGTTAGGCGGTCGGCTAGTTGGTTGGGTTTTTGATTTGCTGGTTAGACACAATGACACAGCGGATTTGAATGCCTATGAAACAATTATAACATTCAGAACAACAACAGTACTTACAATTTAACTAACAACGCCATTATCTAATATTTATGTATGTATATATTTGCCTGCTTTGTTTAGCTGTTGAAAGCGCGGTTGCGCGCGCATGCATTGTAACGCTCCAGCTGACGCGTTGTTGCTGTTAGCTATTAATAGTGTCGTCAATGCATTGGCAAATGCCAATTGCGGCAATTATTACACTTTTATGACAAAAGCAAAGAAAAACATTAAACCATAAAAATTTGCGGAATGCCTCTGTACAAGAAGAGTAAAGTAAAAATTAGGAAATATGGGAAACAAAGGTTCAAATAAAAGCGCATGCAAGAATTCATTTGCATAATTTGGTTTTTAAGAGATTTTTCATTT